CCTCTCGGTGTCGAATCCATCCAGTCTAGATACCGTGCCTGCCTTGCGGTACCTTGCCTCAACGGTGATGGCAGGCGCGACCAGGTAGTCCGAGTCTAGTCCGGCGCCCTCTACCGGCAAGATTGGCGGTCGAGGTGGATGCTTGCGGTGGAGCCAGCTACTGACGTCGCTAGGTACTTACCTAAGGTAGGTAGGTACCAGCACATCCCCTGGAGCTTCAGGCGCTCGACGGGACCACAGAAGGCGCCATGGACGATGGTGGCAGCGGCTCATAGGGGACCACGGCCGCTAAAGAGGCACCCAAGCCCCTCCCCCTTTCACCTTTCACAGCACGCGCTACCGACGTACCACCATACTTTTTAGGTGCCGACCTTCCCTGCCCGGGTAGGGAAGTAGGCACCCTGCCTGTTCCCGGAGTTCGCCAGCAAGGGGTCGCTCGCATGGACCACGAAGGAAAGGTCCAGGCTTGGGTCCTGTGGAGTCGATGACACAACGAGGTGCCTATGGCCCTGCGGATTGGACCAGGGCGACACGCGGCGGGCCCAACCGAACACAGCCCCCCCCACCTCCTATCGCCTGCAGCGTCTGCTGCGACATATGGATGGCTAGCTGCACCGACCCCAACAGCTGAGTGCTCCGTAGTTTGATGGAGACAACGAGCTCATCGAGCCAGGACAGCCTGCTTCCTGGACCCAGACGTCACTGATGTTCCGATCATCATACTTCATCTTGGTATCAGAACCAGTCGGCCAGATCGGAGACTAAAATAGACCTCCTTGGACAACGTGGGAGATAGAAAAAGGAGGGGAGAAGGAGAGGGAGCACTGGATACTTGATCTCGACGACAGGGCCAACATGGGCCAACCCCTCGTCCTGACCTCCTGATAAGCCCTCGAATGGCGCGATATCTGGAGATAAGGCATCTTGAATTTGGTAACCGCTCGCTTTCTGGGCTCACTACAGGTCAAGGCTTGCCAGGATCAGACCCAGAAAACGAGGTGCCATCTATCTCCGTGGTCTTTCGAGATTCGTACGCCGAGTATCAAGGTGCCAGCAAATGGTTCCTTTCATGACCAGACCCCTCGTGGATCTGGGCCGGCTACTGTATACCAGCCTTTCTCTGGTAGGCAGCCTCGGCTGTTGTGATGTCGACGAGGCGTGCTAGGTTGGCACAAGGCAATGCCTGTGACAGCCGAGTGACAACCTCTGGCTACCTTGACCTAGGTAGCCGGAAGGTAACTCGGGCTGCCGGCCTACTTTGGGCTGGGCTCACAACTAGCCGAGCTCCCAACATGGCCCCATCATTTCCTTCGATCAGCTCAATACGAGCCTTCTCTGTAGAGAGCCTTCTCTGTAGAGGACGGATGAGACTGCATCTTCATCGCGTGCCCTGCTCTGCTGCGATACCCAGTCCTCTGTCGCCTCCCGTTCCCAGCCTGTCACAGCAAGCCAGCAAGCAAGCCAGGGCTGCCGGGGGCCAGCAACACCCGACACTCAAGCTTTCCGGCCGGCGCCCAGTGCCAGTGCCCAGCGCCCAGCGCCCCAGCTCCACCCCCCCTGCCAGACGCTACTTGCACCCCTGGACCCCCTGTCGTGTTGCTGTCGACCTTCGACCCCGTCCGCCTCGGCACCCACCCGCCCGCTCTACCCACCTGCCTCTCCGCCCGCACCTCCGCCAATCTCGGGCCAGCACGCCGGCACGGGGTGGTCCTCATTGCCTCTCCAGGAGCCTGACTATCTTCACCGCATCCCCATGCTCAAGCTGCCAGCTGGCGCACTCCATGCCGTCAAACCTCACGCCATCCCTGTTCTTCGTCTTCTTTCTCTTCTTCGGGGGCATCAGCCTTACACAGGGCCCTGAAACGTCGGGGTATTCCTCATGTACCCTCTCCGAAGAGGAACCCGGGACGACTGAGCCTAGTCCGGGGAGGTGTCATCGGTCTCGTTGCAAGGAGGAACACTATTATCCCCGACGAGACAGAACATACAAGACATGAGACCAGGACGCCAAAGCGGGACAAATGCAAAGGGCACGTGTCCACACTGCTCTGCCGGAGCAAGACAGCATAAGGAGCAGCCCCGTCGCCGGTGACGTGTTGAGCCCCTTTGGTCCGTCAATCAATCCTCCACGTTCGTCGAGGATCCGACACCGAAAACCGTCCCCCCCCCCCCGGGCATCTTTGCAGAGAGAAAAAAAGAAAAACGGTTCTTCTAATCCCCTTACTGTCTCACTCTAGACTGGTGTGCGCCCCGAGTATTGGCGTCACTGTCCAGGTCATGGAGCAGGCGCCTCGTCCACTGCGATATGAAGTGCTCTACTATCCGCTTCCTCATGGACATGCAGCGCCCGCTGGCAATCACCCACCGCCTCTTCCCGGCGACGTCAATATACCCATGTTTGACCGCCGGGGCGGGGCAAGGTTGTCTCCTGCCCGGTCGACGCCAATTTATCCAATCGAGGTGGGTGCGCCGCTCACATGCACGCAACGCCCTCCTCATACGTAGGTATCTCTCTCCTGCACGTCCCCTCTCCCCACTCCTCATTGACGGTGCGAGTTTATCGAGACTGACCTCACCGCCTTTGACGTTTCCGCCACACGCAGGCTGCCGCCACCCTCCCCTTTCGCGCTCTAGGCAAAACGGGAAGAGCGAGACAACTGCGACGTTGTGATTCGACCCTGCATTGTGCATTCGTCTCAACACCCACCTCCCGCTGGTTGTGGCATGGCGTGACCCCCCTCCTCTGCTCTTAAATCCACGGACAGGCCCGCCTCACCCGTCAGCCCCGGGCGAACAGGATGCCGGGTCACAGGGGGAGCCAGCATCGCAGTCGCACTATGGACATGATCGGATCGACAGGGCGGGGCACCATGGCTGCGAAACACGTAAATCACTCTCCACACGGTCCATGAGACGACAAAAAAAAAAAGTGGTCATCATGAGATTTTTGGTCGCTCTCATTCCCCTTCG